AGTCAGGGGACTGAGCTTTACTGAAGGGCAGACACAATGCTAACACAATTCAGCTGGTACCAACCACAAAAAGGCACATCCTACAAAAAAAAAAAGCATTTTATGATCATTGTAAACCAAAACATTGTGTGGTTCTTCTTCATGGAATATGCTATCTTCAACTCCTGTACAAGATTCTTTTGTGGAATATGTGGAAAGCTATTTCGGTTAAGCACTACTCGTGAATATTTGAAGTTCTATCTCTTTGTACACCTTTTATGGGTGTCTTATGAAAAGCATGTAAAAGCAAGCCCCACTCAGAGCAGCTACGCTTCTGTGCAACATGCTGAACAGCACCTCCATCTCCTTTTATCAAAGCAAAACCTAGAAATACTTCTCAGGTCTCAAAGGACTGCAGTGCCCTGCCAAACGGACAAATATGAACTGGGCTGCTTCTTCAAGGTGTTAGCTTGTAAGCTGCACATGTGAATAAAATAATTACACAAAAGCAGCCACATAGGCATATTGAAAGCTAATTAGCAGTGAGTGTCATTGAAACAAACTCTTTATGGCAGTCTTTAAAACCAAATGAGGTGAATAACAGACCTGTACCCACGAACAATGTAAAACAGTGATATGGTTGAATATATGACCTAAACTTGGTCAGAATTTTGTTAACGGTTCCTTCTTAAGTATTTCTTAACTCGTTCATTAGTTTCATAACTTCCTCTTAAGCTCCCATCTATTTACATATTTTCCATCTCCCCCTATAATCCCATCTGAATTCAAGACATCATCAAATCCAATAAGTTAAAAACTTTCATCCCTATTACCCACAGGGGGCAATTATTTATTAGTGTTTTTTTTAATAAAACCAATCAACAGCTCTTGTGTAAAAGCATCACAAGCTAACCCCCACTGAGGCAAACACCCAATCACCACCGCCTACATCAAGACTCCAGACGCAATCAGTGCAGTGATGGCTGAGCTCGGGCATTCATGTGGCCGGCAGACTAAGGGGTGTTTTTCCTATAATCAGTCTACAGCATAACTCCAACACTATTGCCCTCATACACACTGATAAACAACCTCCACAGCCGATTTCACAAAAATCTAAATTAAATCAAATATCTTCGCTCGCCTGCTAATTAGAAGTTCTGAAGTGCAACTTGAAATGGAGGCTTTCACAGCAAAGCTCGGACAATCCAGTGAGGCCATTGAGCTCATCTGAAGATTAAAGGTCGATATTGACATATTGTTAAAAAACCAAAGAACGTTAAAGCTAACTTTGAAATCAAATGACTTTGTAATGTACATTATATTGCCAAGAAATACTTCGATAAAAAAAACTCAAATTCTTGGGCAAATCTTAATTTAAGAATTAATTTCTTGTGTAGATACCAGAATTGTCATAAGGCAGCCTCTCATGGAAGTGCCGGGTACAGTCAGTCACAATCAACAGATGGTGAGAACTGCCTCCCCCCCCCCCCCCAGGGTAACAGTAAAATTGAGCTTGTGAAATCTGTCACAATCCATGGTGGTAAATGTCTCATAGTTCCTGCAAATGCTAATGAAGCTCATGTGAGGTCCAAAACGGAGCAGGGGTGGGCAGGGAGAGATGGAGTCCAATTTAGAAATGGCACTGTGTGACAAACTCATCCTTCTAGAGGCCAGAGAGTTTTCTATGGCCCGTGGACAGACATGCACAAATGAGCGCCGCTCAAAGATGCCAGTGACATTCAGGTCGCCATTGTGTCCGTCTCCTTTGAGACCCCCCCCCCCCATCCCCCCATCACATTCCATCAGGGGCCGGGACAAAACCTGCCATTGCTGGCAAACACTCCTTCATTAGATGGGAGTATAGCAATGAAGTTAATTATGTTCTGCTGCTTTTGAGTGAAATGAATAGAAAACAGTGGGGATGCAGATATGGGACATTTAAAAGACCTCCACTCAGCTGGAACTGGACTTGAAAAAGTGTCCTTGAGACAAAGCCTTCAAAATAGAGTACTGATGTGACTTTGGTTTTTATGTGATGAACATATCCTACTGCTTTACATCACACATTGCAATCTTTAATAATCAGCACCAATGTTTCACTCACTACTTCAAAAGTTTCCTATCTTTGCAGAAAGGTTCGTTAATTTCTGTAATGTTTACCAAACATGACATGTGTGAATATGTACGGAGCCGATTAGGGTTGAGCTGACAGACGAGTCATCGACCGCTGAGCCCAACGTCATGATTTAAATATATTTTTATGAATAAATAAGCAGGGCAGCGATAAAACTGATAGCAACACTGGCAAAATCAATACCTGACTGCACAGAAGTTTATGGCAGAAGCTCTTCCTAAGTGGCAATAGTGGCAACCAGAAGAACTTGAAGAGGATAGGGCCGACTATATTTCAAACAATTTCATGGCAAACAATTTGAACAGTCAGAGCAAGAAACCACAGGTCTAATTAATATCATTATTAACGACTTTCTTTTATTTAAATGTCCCAAATCAGACATGCTTCCTTGTTACCTGGCTTTACTAATTGAACTGCACCATCATTAACCCTCATCCTACTGATATAAGGACTGCTGGGGTCCCTGGGTACCCAAGAATAAACTACTGGAAGAAACAACCAACATAGCAAAACATTACTAGTTATGAAATAGCTGTCATCTGAAAAAAATATGAATATGATTTAAATAGTTAATTTGCATATTGTTTAAAACAAAAATAGACTGAGCACATGAGGAAATATGTCTGCCGCACTTATTCTACTATATTAAAGCTACAAAGGCTACAAATGGGTGATTTTGACTAATAAAACATTTATAACAAATTATTACAGAAAGGGAAAGAAATTGGATTGAGCCAGCAGGAACAAATTTATTGACAAAGTCGTGAATCAATACACCTCCGAGGACCCTAGTTGGTAGGATAAGGGCTAATGCTATTTACTTTTCACAGTCTATAGTCTTAAATCACCATAAACATGCACAGAAGCACACGGTAACATTAGTTAACGCCAACTGTCAATGAGACAAAAGTTATCCTACTAAGAAAACTTTTGTAATTTATACCAGAAGGCGCTAAAGTACAAGAGAAGCTCGTCAACACAGTGAGGAACATTGAAATATCTGGCTACAAGCACCTCATGCTATCTGACAACTTAAGCACACTGGCACCACAGAGCCAAGAATAAACATGTTGGCAAAAGCGGCAAGGACTTGGCTTGTTGAAGTGAGGCAGTGGTCCCCCGGCATCTCAACGGCGATAACACAAATACAGCTAATGTCACGCATCCCATAATATATGCTTACAAAGTGCATTTGTGGCCTAAAGGCGATTTGACCCCATTAGCTTTGGCGGGACGAGTAGCAAAACCAAGAATCTCTGGGTAGAACAAGGGAGAGAAAATATACAGCAGTACATGGTGAATGTGCGCTACATTAACAAATCTACAGAGGACTCCAAAACATTGTGCATCTGTATTGAGTGAGGTGGTTTGTTTAATTTACTGAAGTTTTAAATTGTTATTTACAGCTTTTGCACTTCACTATTTTGCCCGAGGCTTAAGGCACACAGGGGTTCGTTCGTCTTTGCAATAGAGCAAATTCACCACCAGCATTATGAAAGTTAATCTCTGGCCTCTCTACCGAAGCCCATCACCATGTTAAACACGGAAGCTTGCTTCTCTGAAAGACGTTTGATTTTTGAGTGGAGCCTAATTTGTAACTAGGAAAGAGAATACAATCAGAAAAAACTAAAGACGGGTGGTTTTAAGTTGACAGTCTATATAGACATCAGGACTAATTTACACCTAAGCAGTAGGTTATGCATTACCTCTGAAGAATACATAAGTGAATTATTGAATGTTGGTGAATGCTATGGCAGAATGATCAGGGTGGATGTGAAACAAAAAATATTTAGCCCATCAACAGCTTCGCAATGAGAAATCTGACTGGGTCACGTCCACAGGCTTCCAGAGGAGGAGGTAAACAAATTATCCTGTTATGTGCCGTCAATGACGGCGCATATTAGGGCCCGAGAACCCAGTGGGAAATCACAGAGTAATGATTAGAGATTCAGAGCCTGCCAGTGGGTATGTCTATCTGCTGTCTGAGAGTGAGCACTTCCCTTTAACCCAGTAAGAGCTCCTGTCCATTCACACACAAACAGTCTGTGAACTAATGGGATAGCTGATCTGCAGTAGTTTCCCCCTTTTGAGCAAAAAGAGATAATCTTTAACCTCATCTGCAGGACGACAGATGGACTCATTTTACAGTTTATATTAAACTAGACTCATTTCAATTTATCAGATTATGATTCGTCTGCCTTTTGTGTTTTATTCACAGGAAGGCATGACACACAGGAGATGGTTTGAATGCTAATTAACCGTCTCGAGCAAAAGAGAGAAAAACAACTCTTTCACATCCCTGAGCCTTCATCCTGGCTCAAACCTCACTGCCACGATGTGCGATGCGTTTCTTCATTCACGGCCAAATCTCCATCCCTCATGCTGGAGCAGACAAGAGGACTGATTGCACTATAATGCCCCTGTAATTTTCCATGCTGGATGGGGTCACTCAGTCAAGACACAGAGCAAACAGACAAGTTCTTTCTCAGAGATGCGGCATGATCAACCTGTTCGAATTTGAAGAATTTAACAGCACATTCATACAATGAACATATCTTGCCCTGAAGTGAGACAATGTTGACTGGTGGGGATAATTCTAATGACCTCAGAAGTGTATCTTTTCCATTGGCAAGCCTGATAATAACAGTGGAATACAGATCCATGCAGAGTCCTAGACAGTGAGGAAGAGGCTGAAAGTAAAAAACAACATACAGGAGGGAGGGGAGAGAGAGAAAGCCTGAAGGAGATTATAGGAAGACAAAATATTAGACAAAGCAGTGAACTGCATCAGACTCTGAATTCTTTGTTCTCTTCCCCCCCGAGTTAAAAGCTCCACTATCAGAGCTCATCTGCATTCTAGGTGGTAAACACAACTCCAGAGCAGCAGTGGATTTACCTTCCTTTTATTATAACAAACATATTCATCTATTATATAAAATATTGTAAAACAACAACTTCACATACAGTACAAATATACATGCACAATTTAAGTAACTATGACAGGGAGATAACTTGGAGATCACATTTGTAATTTAAAATCCTTTAAAAATATCTGATTCCCCATGAAACAAATTAAACTGGTACAAACACATTTTTAATACTCAATGTCAGGCCTTCAACGAAATATTTTAAAACATCCCACATTAAACTGACAACCTCTTTGACAAAAAGAATGCAGGGCATGCGGTTAAAGAACAAAACAATTCAAGAACAAAGAAAGTCAAGGGTTTTGAAGATAAAAGTGCTAAAGCCATGTGTTATTAAAATGACAATTAAAAAAATATCTAGAAAAATGAATCAATATGGAAACTTCATAATAGGTCAGGATTTTCACTGTCATCTACCAGTTATGCCGTCCTTTGCGTTGTCTGGTTGGGATGCACTTTTGCTCCCTGTGAGTGAGAGTTTTCCAGCTGGGCTGTTCATTACTGGATGTTCAGTCCTTGATCAGACATTTGACAAGTGATTAATCAGGGAGGCGGCCTCAGAGGAGCAACTGAAAGTTAATTTCCACACTTCTGCATGCTGAGATGAATTTGAAGCTTGTGCAGACGGGGTAGCTGCCTTAGTCACGCTGTCAGAGTGACCCCTGCACCTCACATTTGCTAGGATTACATCCACACCGACAGCCCCACGCTTGTCTTCATCATGCACCAGCACGCAGCGCACATCCGAGCGCTGACGGAGAGTTAAGTCATGGAATTGGGGACGGTAGGGCGCGATGGTGACAGAGCGTAGAGTCGGGTGAAAGACAGCATCGTCCTGCACCAGGCCAAGGTGGGTATCAGTGAGTAAAAGCTGGGCCAGGGGCTCAGTGTGGGTACTGGGGCTGATGCACACCCCTACACCTGTGTACAGTAGTATCTGCACCTCTCCCAGAGCTACGGTTTCTTGATCCATGTTACAATGAAGAAGATAAACCAGATCAGCAAGACTTTTCTGAAACTGGCAGCAAATCCTTAAACCAGCATCCAGCAGCAGGTCCGGCACAGACCAGTCGAAAGACAACTTCATCAAGTCTCCATGGAGCAGTGGGTGCTGAGACACCCTATTGTCCCCGGGGCAGATGACATCAAGTATGGCCCGGCACAGCTCTTTGGTAAGCTGCTGGCTGTGGGTGTAGACACCTAGGATGCTCTCCTCTGCAGCGCCCATCAAACGCAGACTGTGGCCTCCTAAGCCTATCTGCAGCTCTTTCAGCTGGAGCAAGGGGAGGTGATGGAACAAAACCAGGAGCCCAAAGTCAGCGTTCAGGGCATAGATAGCAGTCTCCGCCAGGATCAGGAGGGCAGGACGGGGCTCAGGATGGCTGCATTTAGCCACATTCACCCAATAGAGAGCTACAATCTTCTGGGAGGTGAGCACCGAGGTGGAGATGATAGACTGTAAAGTATCCATCATGTCAAGAAATGGCATACTTTGCAGGTTCAAAAGGGAATCAGGAAATTCTATCAACGTTTGACAAAAGATTTGGACGTCGTTCCCGTTTGGCACAGTCCTCAAATTCTCCAATACTTGATTTTTGTCTTCAGGTGCATGGGTGACCTCTGGCTCACTGTGTTTTTCTGGCGACAGCTCTGTAACTAGTTTGTGTCCTTGAGTCACATGAATATCAGCCATGTCTTGCCCGATTCTCTTATTCCTTGTCCAGATATCTTCTGGCATTAGTGGCACGTCATCTGGCAATTCTTCTGCCTTGCTAAAGATTTGCGTTGGTGTCAGGACTGGGACTTGTGTTTTGTCAGGATTGATGTGGCCCTGAATCAACCGAGGTGCCTCTATAGCCTGAATGCTTTGAGTTATCTCCATCTGGATGTGCTGTATGAAAGCTAGATCTTTCACCATTGAAAAAATGTGACTATCCTTGAAGAGAGAGAAGACAAAGCTCGCTTTAACCATGGAGAAGACCTGACTGTCCTTCACTACAGACAGAACATTACTTTCCCTGACCACAGAGACAACATGGCTGGACCAGCGGGCCCCAACTGGCTGTAGTCCCATTTTCTTGACTTGCTGCAATACTGTGGGTGAGCTCCACAGAAAACGACCTGCATCTTGGAAAATCAAAGAAACTCTGCTGACCAAAGCACCCAGCCCCGAGTGTTGAACTGTGGCTGCTGCAGTCTCTGTCACACACACTCCCGGGATCTCCTCCAAACCTCCAGATTCATCCATCTCTCCACAACCAAACTGGCCCTTGAAGGTAGTTTCCTCAGGGGGAGAGCATGCTGCCTGACTGCTGAGAGGTTCTATGTCGAGCTGAGAAGGAGTGCTGGTCTGTGGGAGGACAAACGTGGAGCCAGTTCCTCTGCCGCTCTGCAGGTGGGACATGTTGCCTAATGAGCTCCCACCAGAGCCAGGTCTCTCCTTGTAGCAGTCAGACATGACGCCTTTGATCTTGTTAGCATTCCCCTCTGGCTTCGGACCACATCCATCACCCGGGCCCAGGACGCTTGTCTGCTGGAGGCTTGCATCCCCTGACCGAACCTCCTTTTCGTTATAACTTGCAACTTCAGCCCCACTCTGAGCTTTCCTCCACGGCCACTCAGACATGAGCCCTGGCCCTGATTTATGACACAAGTCCCTCCCCTGCTCCGGGCCATCCCTGGTGCTTATCCCACCCTGTAGTGCGTCTCCATCCAACTCAAATCTAGTGTGAGAGACGGGATATTGTCCAGGCATGGCCTATTTTACATGAGAAAAGGAGAAACTATGAGAGGTCATAAAACTTTGAAAGATTTTAGTCATTCAAAAATCCAGTTTTTTTTATGCAATGTACTATTAAATTAGTCCTGCCATTGCTGAGCAGGAACTAAAATAACTATTTCTCCCAGACCCCTTTATTTATGTATTCAATTATATTTGAATGCATAAATACATGCACAGGAAAATAGAGTGATGAATAACAAGGTACATGTACAAACACAAATACTTCAAAAGTGCTCTCATTGCAATATGCTCACAAAAATGAGTGTCATTTAAAACTCTATTACACTTTCCTGTAGGGGTTTGAAAGAAAATATGTGCATATTAAACAAACACGATAAGCCATGGGAAAAAGTATTTCATGCCTCATAAAAAAAAAAAAAACAGCATTAGGCTTGGCTGGAGAGGGGGGCAGGTATTGACATTTGCTGTGTTTTGCAGGAACAAGAGGGATGAACAGTGGCACCATAGTGGCTCGATAAACAAACTGCAGAAGAAAGTCTCACTTTTTGCAGGATGTGTTTAAGCTTCATTTTAGAATTTTTCAAAACAATTAAAAGTCAGTTAATTCCATGCAGAAACTACCCATGGCTTATTTGAATACAACCTTATTTCTAAAAATTCACTCTCTTAATCAAGAGTGAGTTTTTTTTTTGTAACAGTAGAACAAATTAAGTGTGAATACATACTGTAGTCCTGTGCGTCTCCATTGCCTCAAAGGTAAGACAGCTGCTTGGTACTTCATCCGTCTCTGCAGCCAGCATATTCATCTGCCTGAGAAATGACACGATGACGACAATAATGAAATACATTTCATATTTTATCTGCAAAACAAAAACTGCGTCTTGATACAAGGCGGCGTGTGCACAATCGGCTGTGTTTATATGCGTATACATGCTGCCAGGCTCTTTGTTTGCAAAAGCAAATTTAATTATTTGCTGTGGTGTGACACTGAAGACTTCAAACAGTTTGCAGGCAAAAAAGACTGCAATAACCCCCAAACCCCCACTTCACAAAAAACATCCATTAGATTTGAAAAGCAAACAGCCCAAATGGCTAGATGAGATTAGAGCCACTCTACTAGCTGTGAAATTAAATAGAATCTGTGCATGTTGATTTGAGGATTTACATACAACACTCAGCACTCTGGAGGGGGGAGCAGAAACCAAATATACAGCTCAGAATGATTTCTGACAGTAAACAGAGGCTTTGGCTGAGCTTTGTGTGCTGCAGGAGGTTGGTGAGGGGGAAAAGCAGGAGCGCTAAAGCATTGACAACATCAACAAGAGGGATCACAGTGCAGGTCCTCGTGACGATTAAAGGATTTTTGCAGATCCTGAGGATCAGTGCAGAGGATGTCCTGTACTCGGCAATGTTTGTCTGCTCACATGAATGAACGGAGGAACACTGATCTGGGTTCTCAGCCTCAGAGGCTGACCACATTTTGGGGATTTTATTCTGTCACACACTTTGCTCGCATGCCGAGGTTTACAGTGGTGTTGCTGTGGAATGACTGCGAACAAAACTGGTACGCAAACAACGGATTCATTAACGTCGCCACAGAGAGCACAGTTCGCCTTCCCCTAACTTACCCATCGCCAGTCTCTTCCATCTCTGCCCCCGTTGTCTTCTCTCCTGCTCTGTTGATGGGGAGCCCCACTGTTTTCCTTTGAAAGTCTTTTGATGTCCCGATTGCGTTTGTTCATGCTTTCTTGAACTTGCTGCCATTCCACCTCCTGCTGATTGAGCTTCTCTCCCATCCTCCTAGTTATCACATCGTACATGCACGCCCACAGATTTTATGAGAAGTCCTACATTCTTTCATACGCACCCTTTAACACTTCTCATACCACATTTTCAAGCATTTCCATTTCCTTTTGTTGCAGTTCTACGGAACTCCAACCCAGATATTTGAAAGAGGCACGTGCGATGTTAAAAGCGAACAGCTTAAAGTAAAGTGACACAACAAATTAAATGAATAAAATCGCAGCCTTCAGAGCTAGATGGGTTTGTAGGCAAGATTGTTCTCGCTGCACTGAAGCCGATAGCAAGGAGTGACAAGTGGCACAGGAGTTCCAAGAGTGATGGACGTTAACCAGTGTAAAAACACCATTTTGGGAGATTCAAACTCCTAATAAAAGCCTGTCGAATGCCAGAAGAGGCAAAAATTGTAAAGTTGCCACTTGGGCTTCTGGCCAGAGGTGGAAAATACTGAGGTTTGTCAGATGAAGGACTTTCAGAGCTGAGGTGGCCATTAAAAGCTGCATGGGTCAAACGCCAGCTGGCCCGCTCCATCACTGGGGGTTCTCGGAGTCCACACTCCAACATACAGTCTCAGACTGTTGCACAGTTCATTTGATAAAGAATGATTCAAACAGTGGGACAACTTTTTCTAGAAGGTAAGAAGTGGGTCTTGCGGACGGCCATGAATTCATACACAATACAAAAGCATGTGACCTTGCCATATCAGACAACGTAGCTTAGCAGTATCCACCTTGTGTTTCAAAACTATAAGCTCAATTTAATAGATTCTCTGCACCTCATGCTGAGAGGCAAGGCTGAGCTAATCTGACATAAATGCACATAAGTATTACTGAATTAAAGATCTGGATGAATACAAAAATGTGAAGTGTTCCCACGCTGTGAGGAACAGGACGTTGGACGTTTTGTTGTGCAGTTAGCCTCTTCCTGTCCAAACTCTCAAGTGAGAAAGTCTTTGATCAAACTGATGTAGCCGATAATGGGCACTCCCTCTAGTAACAGCGGGTTAGTTTATTGATATCTTGTGGCACTCCCAGACCCAAACAGCCACTGTTTGAATTCAAATGATTTGTTCTCATTCATCACTCAGGGTTATTTCGAAGATGGTTGGGCAAACTCAGATCAATTCTGTCCTTGCTGTGAAGGAGTTTATGCTACACAAACAGCAAGCAGAACAAGCATGGAATACATATCCAAGCAATGAGAGAAGAACAAGACCTTCCCTCATCTCCCCCATCTACAGTGCTTGATCAGGTGACAGTTCAGTGGGCCAGGTGAGAGAAGGTTAAGATATTTTATGATGCGTGTCTAGAGGAATAAAAAATAAAAAGTGCATTTTGCAATGCTATCCTGCCATATTTTCCTCTGTATACATTTCTACACTGTTGTCAGTCTTACTGCTGATCTGCCATTAACACCTACAGACTTCAATTAGGCTGTCTCAGTTTCCCTCCACCCCAGACTCCTACTGACATCCATTCTTCTCCATGGTTTTAGCCCACAAACCAAGCGTTTCTGAAGCACAGTGGTGACCACAGTAGCTGTGTGTTGGACTAATAGCAGCCTTGGAGTAATCGTTGATATACACAAGCATTAACGCTTTCACATCCAAGCAGCGTCAGACCAGCGGATCGGGAGCGCGGTTGCAGGTGTTCCACTGAAAGCAGAATGAATCACCTGAGCGGAGGTGCTGTTTTTTGGGGATACTGCACTGTGAGGGAAATTACATGTCAGACAGCTCCACATGTTGTAAAACATCAAGGTTATCAGATCATGAGAGACCGGGTGGGTGTCTCAAATTGCTCAATAGAGTGAATTGGATTTTGGGCACTAATTCAATGAACCCTGAGACACAGAGTCATACTAACATAATGTCAGAGTTTGGTCGACTGTAGTGTAAAAAAAGAAAAGTGCACAACTGCTGTTAAGTGTCAATAAAAATGATAGTGACAGTAATCCTTTTGTTAGTTCCTCACTGTTTGTTAAAGCCACCATGCACAAGATTTTAATGTGATTAACAGCAGTGTCACAGTAGTTTTAACATACCCAAATCAACTTTTTATCAATTTTATACCAACTTTCCTCTTATTGTATTAGTTACAGCCGTGTCTACCTGTAGTGAGAGCAGGCTTTTCTCAATATAGAGTGCACAAAATTCTGGTCTTTGGGAGCTTGAACTTTGTTTTGACACTTGAGCGTAGCTGTGTACACCTGTTGTGCGACTAAATAATCTCAAATTAAAAAAAGGTCCACTTAACAAGCTTTCTCAGAGCCTTCGTCAACAATGACCGTGACATGCAGACAACAGATTCATCTTTTATCCTCACTATTATGCATTTTATAATGCATACAAAAAAATGTGAATAGTGGCTTTAATCATCCCCAATGCATAATACACGCTAGGACGCTTTTCTACTCTAAGACAGTACTTTGTACTTGTAGAGCACTTTGAACTGAGATGCTTCTTGGACCGTGGCTGATGACTGTTTCACAAATACAGACAAGAACCCAGGTTGAGAGAGTTATGTGGGAAAGATTTGCTGGAAGTGTAGCAACGTTGAATGATGCAACTTCTGAACAGTAGTTGTTTTTTTTACAGTGTATTTTGAGAATTTGGGGGAGCTAAACTTCAAGTGCACTGCAGTGATTTTGAAAATGGGACACGGGGCAGTTCACTACCTACAGAACTCGAGGCCCTTTTGGGACATGCCTTGGGCTGTTGGAGACTTGCCGGCTGTGATTTCCAATGACTCAGCATGAAGCACTTCAGAATGGCTTTTTAGCATGTTCCCACCTCTCCTCACAGAAGCGCTGCTATGATTTATGGCATTAATTTGAACTACATGCCGCGATGAATGCCGTTCAATAAGCAGGCACCTTGTGGAGACTGAGGTAGACTGGGTTCAGTTATGCTTTGTTCACAGAGTGTAGAGAGCTATTACATATGTCTGCATAAGTCTCACCCTGGGTTTTGCGGCATCACCGTGGACAGATTCTCAGTAGACTTGGACACGTCAGTCAAGGGCAGGCTGAAGTCAGACAGCGGCCCTCTCTGCAGACAACAGAATGAGACAGCACTGTGAAATGTAAATCTGTGTGAGATATGAGTGACAGCTGCCTGCGGTAGATTTGCAATTATGCAAGGATTTAATTTTAGAGGATGCTGTATGTCATCTGTATTCATGACACTGTTTTTCACAAAACACAAGAGCGTAGACTGAAGAGCTTTCACAACATTTGGAAACATTTCTAAATCTTATATCTGGTAATTGAAAGCCCCTCCAAATGACACCATCACATATTCCTAAAATGAAATGGCTGTGCATTTTTTTTTTTTTTAATATATATAGCACTATTGAAATATACTGCTTTCTAAAACCACAGTTGCACACTGTATTCTCGGAGTGGTAGTATATTGCAAGACTGAGTGAATGTGCAACTCCCGAGACCATCTCATTTAGAATCGATGTTAAAAATGAATGGCAAAGACTCATCTTGGCACCGCAGCGGGGCCTGGATGTCGGTGCTTTACTTGGCTGTAATGGCGTGCAATTTTCAATAATGCAGAGAGCAGAAAGCTGTCAAAAACCAGAAGTACAGCTATGCCTATAAAATGGTGTGTGAATCCATTTTACAACATCAAATGTTATAAAGCCGAGGAGGAAATGCTTAAAAGGGGACTAAACGTTGGTTGCAGGCAAATGGATACTAGATCAGAACTTAATTTTAAATTACAGTGAGCATTGATAATTACAGAATTTGAAAATAATGCTATAATATTCACAACCATTGTTTTTAAAAAACTATAATAACTATTGCCTTCTGACACAACACTAAGCCACATGTTGAGTTTCTTCAACAGTGACTTTCACTCAGCCATAAAGCTGAGAGTCGTGAAGCACACAGGCAACAGTATTTGTATGCACGTGTCTACCAAAGCAGGAATGGAAGCCGGTAGTTCAGAGTGTCTACAGGCCTCTCGGTATCCTGCTTCAGTCGTGCTCTTCTCACACAGATGGTCAGGAGGTCTGACCGACTGACTGAACTAACTGCACTTTTCTTGTCATTCCCCTTATTGGGTTTGTTTGTTTGTCCCCTTCGTCATGAAGTAGGTTTGACACGACATTGACTAACATGATTAACATTTTCAACCATTGTTTACTAAATTTTAAAGGGATTTACATAATTCTGCCCAGCACACAAACACTTTTATTCTTGCACCCACTTACGCAACCCAAACTTCTTAAGAATACGTAAACAGTAACAATGTTTTGAAGAGAAACACTGATTGGGGTTTCATCGGGAGAAAGGGTACATTCACACAACGCTTGAAGGAGCTGGATGAAAAGCAGCCAGCTTTGAAAGCTGCTGCACCTGGCCTTCTTTCAGGAACAGCAGAGAGCTTCTCAAAGTTGAAAACAAGTCAGTATTGTGGAGATTGTGTTCATGATGTGCAGGTCTGGTGCTTTTTTTGTGAGCCAATTATTGAGAACGAAGAAGTACAGTTTCATGCTAAACAGGCAAAAACAAGCAGTAGCAGCGGAAAATCGAGCATGTTCTTATTCTGATCAGAAAGAATCTGCACGGATCACACACTGGTGCGGCTGTTGGAGTTTCTGATGTGGCATCAAGTGTGAATTTGAGTTCAACACGAGCAATGTTTGCTGAAGGAAGCAGATAATACAGCTAGTAGTTATGGAAACAAAGTGCATGATGCTGACTTGCTTTTATAAGATTACCAGCAGAAAATGCAGTTGTGGCAGCATCCTTACTGAAAGAGGCTCACTCAGCTTTACAAAAACAGCATGTTAGTATGAGAACACAATAAGGCTCGTCTGTGGTGGTTTTGGGTCACGTCTGTACCTGGCGTTTGTGTCTGAGCTGGGCAGCCTCAGTCGGGTGGTTAAACCGGAGTATGGTTCCTCTTCCTAGCTGTGTGATGGCACCTAGAGGGAACCGAAGAGGTACAGCATGAAAAAAAAGTGGCATATCACCAACTCACTTACCTGCCTAAACTTAACAGTTTGGTATAAATGCTGTAGCAAGCATTGAATTATGCAATACAGTGTGAGAAGACTGACAGAGGCCATATGTGGTCTGGCACAGTATCTATAATGCATAAAGACTTTGGCCAGGGGAATCTACCCGTCATTGTGGGATTCCAGTGAACTGTCTCTGCACTGAACTTGAGGAAAGTTGATAAATGGCACAAAAAGTTCTCCAACATTTTCCTCTGCTGAGGTAAAATTAATGAATTGCCATGAAGAACACAATCCCCAATGTGATTGGCAATGACCTAGACCAGGGGGATGAATTACTGGAGAAATGGTCCAAGGAAACTGGAGAAGTCTGGTAAATCTTGAATCTTGATTGAACCGATATCAGGGTTTATATAGCAGACTCACGCTCATATGGCCACATTCACAGATTTTCTCGAGGTCTCCTCTTCATTCCCCTTCTCTCTCAGCACAGCAAATACTAATCTTGCTACTCCTAATGACTTCTGACGAGTGACAAAGCACCTGAGAGAGCAGCCCATGATGGATTCCAACTGCTGTTGGACTGAAAATTACTATCATTTGTTCAAGAAAATAGCTTCAGATGCAGCCGTTTCTGAAGGGGATATTGGATAAATTGAAATGGTTATAAAAGAGACTGGCGTAGCCAGGCCCTGCTCAGCCTGGTTCTGTGTGCAGTTATCTCTGGAACGCAAACTAGTGAGGATGAGGAGGTCGTAAGCGGTGAAAGCTCCCAGCCCCAGCAAGCAGGGTCTGCTCAGGGGGGCAGGAGTTTTAGATCTGCTTGGCTCTGTCCTTTGAAAGGTTAATGCTCTGGCCCACTTCAAACCTGTCGGCCCTATCAACTCCATCTGCCAATTAAATGGAGGGCCTGGGGCTTTGTCTGGAGCTTTGTCTGAGGTCCCTCGCCCTTCAAATGTTTAGTAAGAGAAATGGCATCTGCCCTGTGGAGAGCCGTGTTCACAATCCACTTATGCCCTGAGCACGCTGCCGTGGGGGTGCCAGGGACATAAAGTGGATTTCATTTGCAGATGTGATGCAGTGATCTCATATAACTGCATTCAAAATGGATGAGTGCGCTATTGCCTCCTACTGGCTAAATAATTGGGAGTCTGAGAGAGAAATCTTCATTATTACAGACATGCCTTGCTCCCGTCCCCCCAAATATTCATTAAAGAATATCAAAAGTATATTAAGCGTTGCAGAAATGCTTACCCTGAGTCAGCTGGCAGGGATCAGTTACCACAGAGCCATTGACTGAACACACTGCACCATCCTGAGGGATCAGAGTCACGGTCCCAGCACGGTTCTCAAGCACACAATGTTCACCGAGGAGCCCAGGCCCATGAAGTACTATAATACAATTAAAGCATGAAAATAATTACTGCATACATTTCCTGTGTAATGCATAAAACAGCAGCTGGGAATTTAGTGCAGTAACCTTGACTCACCAATATCCTGACTGCACAATGCTTCATCACTCCCAATCAGGGTTCTGCCCTCCTACAGGGAAGATTAAAAAGGTCACGATACAATATGCAAGCTGTTTGCCAATTAACAAAAGCATTGGACCTTGGCTGGTAATGATTTTAGACAAATAGAGTAATGTGTGAATTATATGAAGTTCAAATTATCTATTCACTTTCAAATAATACAGGACTATTCCAGTGCTGAGCAGGTCTTCATCGATGCCGATCAGATGCGGTAAGTGGCAGCCCAGGACCACTCCACTACCCTCCTTCCTCAGAGCCACAGTCTCCTCCTATAGAAAATAGAGAAAATATACCATGAGGGGAAGAAAACAAAACAAAAAAAAAAACTCATCCAATAGCCTGTAGCTGGAATGGCACACAATATAAAATAAAACTGCTGACAGACATTTAATGGCAAGCAGCAGAAAACTGAATTCTTTACGACTGCTCTTCCTTGCCTGAAGGCCAAGCAGAACAGCGGCGTTCCAACCATGTGTCGCCATGAAGCAGTAGAGCGGCTAACGGCAGGAGAGACGCCGTAAATCATTCAGATTAACGTGGCGAGAGTCAAACTGTACATTGTGTTCAGCAAGCGAAAAAGACGCATTGCCGCCGTGCGCGCACACACAAAAAACGGGTTGTATACCATGCATCATTGTCTTTATTGATGCACAGCCATCAACACTGTATGTTATGGTTAAAATACTCCTGAGCTTGTAAAGTATACATCAAGTGTAGATAACAGCAACAAACTTCAGGTGTGTCTTTTACAATGCGTCTCATAGGAGTATTGCATGGAAGGTCAAACTAAAGTGAAAGCATGTCATGGCTTGAAGCATTCATTTTCCATAAATAGAGCATTATTTGTTGAGGAAAGTAATAAACTGTAGTAAAATGAGACATTTTAAGATCATTTCATGGGGGACATTTCAATTTACCCCCACATAAAACATAGCATTCGTTTGCATTAGGTCCAAATCTCAGACACAAATGATGAAAAACACTTCAATGTTCATATTTCACACAGACTACGGAGTAATACATCATTAAAGTGACACAAAGCAACATTACAGTTGGATTACAACTGCTGTCACACAGAAATTAATGTGCGCATGGGGAAAAAAAAAAAAATCCCTTCTGCTTGTCCAGAAATACCTGATAAATATGTATTAAATGGAGTTACAGCCCCACTCTACAGAAATGCGATAGCAAGTAGAGAAATTGATTTAATCCTTGAAAGCCATTTCTAAAGCACAGGACAGCTACACTTAAAACCTCTGATCTGCTCCACACATCGCTTCACTGCCTCCAACAATTGTTGCTGAGGAAATGTAAAAGCAGGAGTCACACCTACTTACAGCAGAAGTGTCTGTCAAGGGGTGATATTCATTTAACTTTGTAGAAAATGTAATTTGGCATTATTTCAATTCTAACTTCAGCTTTAGAACAGACCAGACTGCATGACTGTTAATTTGCTATTATTCAACAAGAAATAAAATAGTCTTGGATGACCTGCTGGGTTCAAAAGACACACTGAATGAAGCCACAAAGAGAAACTCTAGGAAAGGTGTACACGGCCGGTAACCTTTTCCTCCCAGGCCAATGGCTGTGGTTCAATAACCCAGAGTCTACGCAAGCATGAGTGGCCCTATCAGAAGTATTCCTCCGTTAAGCTGATGGACTAATGCCTCACATTGCCATGGATTATCACAAGTACCTCCCCAAGAGGCAGAGCAGAAAATCTCACATATGGAGGATTCAGAGGCAACACTCTGCATAAACTAGCTCCCCTCTTTTTCAACCTCCTACTCTCTTTCGTATAGATTGGACCGTGAAGTGAGAGACGTGTCCCCCACCAGCACCACCTCAGTCATTGGCAGTTGTGAGATGGGAGGAATCCTTTTTTTCTAATGAAGAAGGAGAGGCATCGACCTCAGCCCCTGTACGTAATTAAAAGGGATTCTTCACAGACTTCATTAGGTGGTGAGGAGCAGCCTGGCAGATTAATGCACTGTGTCACTTTCTTCCCACAACAGATGATCCTCTTATTTTCTCCTAAAATTTGCACACATACAGAGAAAGTTGTCTGTGTACGTGTGCTGTGAGAGAGAAAAAAAAAAAGTCTGCTTTCAGATTGATGCAGCTGGTGGACAAACTGTAATTAATCGTGGCCCAGACTAGCAGCCAGGCTCGGGCAGCATTTAGGCTCCCATTAAAAGCCATCATCTGTGGCTGGGCAGAAATGGATTTTTCTCAACACTTTTGACAGTTCAGGTTCCCGACTTGGTTGATATGCATTTCAAAACACTTCCATAGGCCAACCAATCCTCCTTTCCTGACTGCCCATCAGCCCTGTCAAGTGGAGCAACTTAACAGAAAAGATAAGCAGGTACTGAATGCAGGCCAAGAGTGAAACTTCTGCCTTCAAAATCCTTGAAAGACCTGTATTTATACCACAGACTACTGCACTTTATGAAAATTCAAATGACTAAAGCATGAAGGGAAAGGCAATTACATGGCCAGTTTTCAAAATGCCACGAAGCCTTTTGTTTGCAATGATTGGCTAAAGTCCACAATGGTAACTAACAGAAGAAGAATTGGCATCCCATTAACAGTCCATTCTGTTTCTTATTCGTCCCTTCATTTTATTTGTGTGCGCGCTCCATGTAAAAGCAGAATCTCAACCTGAGAGTTTGTGTTCTAGGTGTATTATGCATGTTTTGTGCAATTAGCTTGATGTGCACTCCAGCCATGCATGCAGATAGTGGTTAAAAACTAGAGAGGGATTCAACCGTATAAAAGCATTTCCGGGTTCCCAATCAGTCATCAAGTTCTCCTGCTACATGTCCCATTGCACCTCATGACAACTGGACTGTTATTAGTACCGTTGATTTTATGGGCCCAGTGGGAGATTTCAGTCCTTGTAGGTATAAACGGCACCTATAAACACATGTGCTTGCCACGTTTGCGTTTCAAACAAAGGCCAGATAATAAATGATTCCATGAACTAAATTTGGAAAATGAAAGTCAATCTAGTTTGAAGCCCAGCTTTACTGGCATGTGAATAATCAAAGGCGTGCTGCTCATAAGAATATGTAAAGGTCATGCAATGCAATAATAGCCAACTATGATGCATAACTGCTGACAGTATGAGGTAAATTGACATTAAACAGAGCCAGGCTCAGAGCATTCAAGGCTTAAGTTGCGTCTTTGTGCTGATTGCAGCATGTTTGGGAAATAAAAAGACCACGAGGATCAAAGAAACACTGCTGTTCATTTTATCTTACTGAAATTGAGGTTCCTCCCACAACCGTGTTAGAAGTGGACCTGAAAGGGCGGCTGGGGAGCAGAACTCCACTCGTGAAGTAGAGCTACTCACACATCTGTGTGTGTGTGTGTGTGTAAAGGCTATATACCCCTGAAGTAGAACAACATTTCACTTTACCCTCTTCCTGCCTTTTTTGTTCTCTCAATCTGTTGCCGTCTGTCTGGTAAGAGGCTGCACTGGAATCCATCTCATATTAATTACTTTCTCTTTCCCACATGCCCTGTAACCAATCTGGGAAGCTGACGATGAATAACTTTGCATTCTAAATCTGCTTTGAATACAGAACTCAAAATTCTGTTTACACCGCTCTTGGTCAACTCGTCTCCTTAAGGCCCGAGCACAAATTTTCATCTAGCTCTTAGCAACGGCATCAACTGAATTAAACACAAAATATGAAACTTGAAGACTTCTCTTTAAAAAATAAATAACGTGCTAGAGATAAAGCGCATCACTTCTGCATTTATAACACCATGCATACTTACACATGGAGGTTGGATTAGATCAGAACCATTCTATTTCAAACAAGGCCATTTGTTACAAAACGAAGAAAAACCTAATTTAAATAAATCCACAAATGTGATTAAGCTGGTGTTTGTCATGTATGTGCGCTGAATTTTGAAATGGCCAACTTTAAACTGGTGGCAGATGTGCGTCGCTGTACTGAACAGACACCACCTCCAACGTCTGTGCAGAATGCAAAGCATAGGAAGACAAATGTCAAATCCATAAAGTCATTCATCAAACACTTGGGCATCACGTTGCATCATAACAGCTTCTACATGAATGGACACAGCTCTAAATAAGGCATATTCTTCAGATCTGCCAGTAGAGATGGAAGATGTTGCCTCATAGTTTAAAACCATCACTGCTTGACGATGGAAACAGATTTACAACACTGTCTATAATTAATATGCCGGATAGTCAAAGACGAAAGCGCCATATGTCAATAATCAAGACCTCGTAATTGGGAGAGGTGACAGCTGCTAATGAGTTCCAACACACCATCATGAGTAAAGGGGCTGTCGAGCCACTAAATGTCACCTGCTAACCACCCACAGAATGAGAATGTTAATTATCCAACACACGTATATAGCCACCATTCATGAGAAGTCAAAAATCCTTACACAATGTCTTCTTACATGTGTAGCTCTCCTCTGGTATTCTGAAGACGGATCATTGCTACATGTCCGAAAAACACAAATCTCTCAAAGACCAGATCAACACAACTGTTTAAACACACGTGCAAAATCTGCTGGAGAGAAAATACCGCTAAACATGTACAACTGAGATAAGAGGTCACTGCATAGTTCTCATGACTGGCACGCTTCACGGTTCAATGCATAATGCAACAGGCTTCTTGGCTGAGTAAGATGAGTCCCAAACAGATGACATTTGGTGTCATTTGGGAGGTTGGGCACAAATTCAACAGAGGAAAAGTGCTCAGTGTAAACTATGGGTTGGCACACAGTGAGATTTTTTTTTACAGCTTGGGGTCTTGTAAAGGATGCTGCCACCCTGTTCCAGCCTCAGAGAAACCATATTGGGTTGAAAGAGAAGGCACGTCTGTTCAGTTTCTATTTGTCAGACTCCCAAACACTGTTACTCACACACACACTTACTTCACGATAATTACAAGAACTCAGCTTTTGGATGCGATTTAAACCTAAATAGATGGAAAATTAAATTTAAATGTCAGGTCGACTCGAGTCTCATTAGCCGTTCCACTCCATGAAGTGTCTGTGGCCGTTTACAAGACTTACAGTGACACCAGCTGGTTGGATGTCTTTACTGCAAGCAGCAACGTATTCTCATAACTGCTGCTGGGAGCTTGCCACTTTGAGGATTGTTAGTCTTAAAATGAATGGAGCAAACCTTCACACTATGTACTCAGCGGCCTTCTACCTTACTTGCATATATTGTTCTGCATCAAGCCATCAAAAATGGTATTTTTTATTTTACCGGCTAGAAACAACTAAGCTCCAAAGAATGTAACTGTAAAAAGGGGCATCTCACAGCTTATTCTGAAATGTTCACCCAGCTTTGTACTTGCACCATCTGATCAAATGAAAGAGCTAAACCAAACTAAAATCACGGGAATAAAGCAATTCCTCAAGCAATTCTCTTCTGTTACTGTCTTGTACTCCTCTAGCTCGTGTCCAAGAAGCAAAACACACACTACTGAGCATTTGTGAGTAAAATTAACCGATGTAAAATTGGCCCCAGGATATTTGTGCAAAAGCTCACTTGGCCTCTTTATCAATGTGTTTAAGAATAGATTATTCAAACAAATTGGTGGATCAAACCCTTATTGCTTGTGGAGGTGGCTAAATGATCTGGTGGGATTAATCATACATGTAAGGGACAAAGAAAAAAAAAAAAGCAAGAAATTATATGAATCATTTCAAAAAACCATGAATTTTTAGATGGTGGTTGATCTTTGAATGTAAAAAAAGAAAGGAATGATCACAAATATATATTGACAACCTCTGTGCAAACGGTGCATCTTTTATGGAAGACAATGTCTGATTTTACTACATTTAAAGTATTTAAATACATGAAGTAATAATTGCTGTACCTGCAAAATAATCTGAGTCTCGCGCCATTTGCTGGTCCACTCCTTGGTCAGTGCTCGGACCTGGGCGGGAGGAATAGCAGGCGTATTGTTTACAGAGGAAAACATCAAAACTCTCCCACACTTTCCACTTGGCAGAAGATAACTCACCCTTGTCTGATTCTGATGCAGCTCCTCCTCTACCTTCACAGAGGAAGATGGCTCCCCACGGGAAACCTGGAGTTATAGTAAAAAGACAGCCTACAATGTAACCTTTGAATGACAGACATTTTGGATCATTGATGTCCTTTTGTGTGAGCTTGAACATATGCAGGACCTGATTGGCTTCTTCTAGTAGCCTTCCGAGCCTGGTCACCTCTGCCTGCAGCTCTCTGATCACCTTCACGTTGCCGTCTTCGTTCACCGTGGGAGAGTTCACAATGTGTTTAGCTCGGCTGGCATAGCGCAGCGTGCTCAAGGTCTCTCCGTAGTTCACATCAGCAGGAGAGACGGCTGCCATGAGAGGTCACCAGGGAGGAAAGCACACAAGTTGATAAGCAGTGGTGAGATAAAACATGAAAAACTAAAAAAAAAAAAGGATTATGATGTTACCATTATCTTTATTATTTTTCAAGAATAGGCAAGATCAAAAAGGGGCGACACACACGTTCTGGAAAAAGCCTGAAATGTCTTGGTGTCAGCAGAGTTCTGAGTAACAGTACATACTTGCTATCATAGTAGTCACAGAGTTTCCACCCAGGCTGTCCTTCAGTAGCCATGTCAGCACAGAGTCTCTGTAAGGAATGAAGATCTGCTTCTTCTTTTTTGTTGACTGTCCTCGCACACTAAGATCAGCTGGGAGGTCACACAGGGAGAAAACACTGACTCAGAGAAACGGGAGAGGTCCAGCAACATATGAAATGTTTTATCCTAAAGCTTCATAACTCCATTTTTGCACTCAAAAAGACAAAGTTTAATTCCAGCTATAATTTTATTAAGTCAATAGTTCCTTCAAATGATAAAAACACAATTCAAATTTGAACCAGACGTCAACTTCTATAATTACAATGCGAGAAACGTAACTAACTAAGCTGCATTTTATTTTGAAGGAGTGAATAAAATGATATAATGTCCTATTATTGAGCTGACCAACTCAATAGCAGATAAAGACGTGGTGTCGTGGTGTCAGTCGAGCTTTAACTGCCATTTACCCAGAGCTGAGATCACATTGCCCAGGGTGACCAGGGATTTGTTGATGTTGGCACCTTCCTTCAGCCTGGCGCCTGTGCTGCAAGTGGCATCCGCTCTCTCGCTGCCTGCCAGGTCCACCAGGTGGATCTTACTCAGCGTCTCGCGCGGCAACTCTGCATCAAACCATGCCTGTGGCATGCAAAAACATTACTGAGCAATCTCCGTCTAGTTCAAAAGAGGCAACATCACAGAGGAATACTTACAGGCGGTATTACGACAAAAGTGCTACTTAAGACGGAAAAAAATGAAAAGGCCTTTGAAGATAAAAACAACATTTTAGAAATTATTACACAGAAACGGATAAACAAGGCTAATTAGAGCTCTTGAGGGATGGCCTCTACCAACACCCAAAGACTTTGCAGGGAAACTTTTAAAAATGCTTTACTCAATTCCGTCAGGCAGTCATGAGATACGGCAGCAAGGACACATTTAAGCACTGCAGCTCACCTGGGTGAAGCCGATGGTGAAGATGGCGTGGGAGCGGCTGCTGAGCTCATTCATGCCGGTGCTGGCCGTGGTGCGGTTGGCATTGCCGAGATTGATCAGGTCCTCCATGTCACTGTGGTTGTGTACCAAGAGCTTGGACAGATCTACACACAAGTTGTCTGCATTAGATTTTATGCATTGTATGCGAGCCGAGACGGACATGGGATGGAAAATACAACCCCGTCTTACTCTCTACATAGGTTCCATCCCGAGGGTGCTCTCTCACTCTCAAGCCTCCATCTGAGGGTGTAGTTCTCTTCTTGAGAAGGTCCTGCACACGTTCATTATGGATCTCCAAATAGCTGATGCCAAGACACAAATGCAAAATTGGATCCAACACTGCCTGCTCACAAGGCCACAGATTAGTGAAGGCTTTCAGTGTTGATATGTGAATGGCACGGCACAAAATGAGAACAAAACAAGTTGCTATTCGCCGTCTACTATGAAAACAGAAGCCAAATGACATATTGTGCATGCATTGCTCTGCTTGCATTAGCAATGAATAAACAAACGTATGCAAAGTAGGTTTTCGGCAGAGCACTTCAATCAAGTGTGTGCAATAAGCAAAAGGACTAGTCTGAGTAGCTGATTCAAAAACAATGCAAGGCATGGAGCAATTAGGCTGTACGAGAGCATGACAGTGATGGAATGGCAGAGACCACGTCCTGTGGATGGAGCCATTCAGGTTGTTTTCTGGCACAGCGTCGAGAACTCAAACGGATTACGATATTAGATGGTTTCTAAATGACTAGACGCATAGCTGCCATAATTACAACAACGACACAGGCAGGATTATTGAGCCAGTACAGTGTGATTCCAACCACCATCACCTCCTTAAGAATACAAAATATATGTTTTACAATGTAGGGATGGATGTGCAGCTACCAACACAACAAGCTATTCATTTCTAAAGTAAAGTCTGGCAGAGAGTCAGATAAAAACCCAATTCTAGGGTTGAATTAAACCCAAATAATGGGCCAACAGCACGCATGATAACGAATATCTAAATAAAAGGGCTTAAAATCATCCATTTCATCTTCCAGCAGTCATTCAGGAGTAGAGCTGGGGCATGTATTCATGAAGCAGATATTGTGATGAGATTAGCTATCATCTGGGATATAATTGGAGAAATAAAGCCTTAATGTTGTCTCTCTGGTTTTAAAAAGGACTGCATTACAGTTGGGTCATACGGAAGTTACATAACTGTCCTAGCTAAGTGAAATAAACAATGGCCTTACTGCCGTATTGAAGTGACAATGCTGATGATGCAACATCTCTATAATGGCATGCGCACATGATGTTTGAACTTGGTTGACCTCCAAAGGCATCAAATCAACATATTTTTAAGTATTGATCTCACGTGGATTCTTTGGGGGCAGTAATGACCTACCTGACATTTTACATGAAGTACATGCTTTCTTTTTTTTGTTTTTAAACAGACTACATTATGAGTAAAATGGTTGTAGTGATACTTTAAAAATGGCTTGCAGTCATACTCTTATATTTAAAGATCTGTGGTTTAATATTTAAGATCACCATTTCGTATTAGATCAGAGAGCGTCACCCCAACTTAAGCAACAATAGCTTTGCATTCAGTGCTCCTACCAGAAGACTTAGCTATGAACCAATTTTCCTTGCCAACTCTACCAAGTACAAAACATGAATCCATCCACCCTCTGCTGCTAGTTTCATGTCCTAAAATCAGTTTTTGAATGTTTGAAATTGCAATGGACGATGTGCATAAGATCATCAGAAGAAGCCTATGGTGGTCCCTTACCTGACCTCTGTGCGGAATGAAACAGCTTCGCTCTTCCCTCTACGAGACATCTCGCAGAACAAGCCTTCACAGATCCGTGGAATTAAACCTTTATCCCCCTGGCACATTAAAGACGGGAACATTTTGCATTTAGGAGTTTTTATAAAATGACAGTGTTACTTTTAAACAAATGTACCCCTTATTGTGATCTCTTAATTAATACGATGCCATGACCACAACTCAGCACATGCACAGACTGCTGAAAAACACAGCAGCTCATCTGATATGGAATTACTGATGCATAAAAGCAATTCCACTCGGAGCGACATGCCCTCTTGTTTTAATTACAAAGTAACAGATAGTAAGCATTAAGAGCCATATATAATTATCTGGGATGTTGATGACCTTGCACAAGTCTCCTGGTAGACAAGCAGAAAGCTCACTGGTAATGTGAAATTTCCATTGCTGTGCAAGGTGAGGAGAGAAACGCTGTGGGTTGCTGCCCTCATCACATTTTCTGATTAGTGGGGAGAAACATGGAGATAAATGGAAAGACGTCTGATGAAGCTTCACATCAGTCGGTTCCTAATGTGGTGAGGAGTCGATGCTATGTGTACACTGGGTTAGCGCTGGTATTCTGCTATGTAAGCTCTATAGTGTTGGGAATATTAGGGCCCGTTGGAGATGCAAGTTGGAAATACCCTGAATATCTCTGAAGAAAAATAAAAATAAAAATAAAAATCACTTCAACCTTAGTAAGAATGAGAAAGCTGAGAGAAGGCCTTACTGTGTGGCCCATCATAGTGTATGATTTTCCTGAGCCTGTTTGGCCATAGGCAAACACACAGACATTGAAACCCTCAAATGCAGCTTTCAGGACATCAGACCCCAAGTCATGAAAAATCTGAAGCAGCAGAGAAAAGTTCATTGTTAAAGTCATTGTTCTACACTACAAAAAAAAAAAAAATAGGTTGTGCAAAATGATGGAACAGATAAAGCCGTAAACACAGAAGAATACAGATACCCTCTCCTGTGATATAAACGTGGGTCTTCCTCTGTCAGATGAATCATAGGAGAAGTCATACGAAAAGGTCTTGCCTCCGTCCTTCTGCTGGTCCCCTCGAACATGTGAAGGCTACAATTTAAAATGCACAGGCCACTCTTAATACAAAAAAACTTTACTGCAGTGTAGTTGATTTTATCTTGTGATAAAATACCTTGTGAATAGATGTTGAGTTCCCACTCATGTGAATTATAACCTTCGACGAAAACTGCTTTTCTCTGTGGAAAAGTGAACGTGAGTGGCATAAGAGTTCATTCAGAGAGAAAATAAAAAGCAGTCATTCTTCCTACCTTTCGTTCAAAGGGCGGACACGGACCGCTACTCGCATTGAAGCCATTATTAATCAAGATCAGACAGAACACATCAAACGAAACGTTATCCTAGCCTGTGTTCTCCTTCTGTGGAAAAAGGTCTGCCTTCCGCGTGAACATCAATGCAGCGTATTTCACACCTAATTATCACACCTGGGGCCTGTGCTCTTTCTCGATGCACTTCGCAAACTAGCCACTAGGGTGTATTACATTACGACTCAGTAAACTTCACTCATTCCTTTTGTCGTGTAGCTCTGGGTTGATATGATTGCAGTGTTAACTCTTTGCACTCAAGATACTTTGGATAAATTACAGGAAGATGTCCCAGGCTTTTGTCAATTTAATAACATGGATAAGCACGATATCCACGAATATAAATGGAAAGAGACTCAGTCAAACTTCACTTTAAATTGTGTTTTGAGTTTCTAATCAATACACACACTATATGACAACGAAATCCAAATAAATCGAATGTGTCCACTTTATAATGCGAAGGAGTGCTTGAGTCAACAGGCTGCATTTGATGCTCACGGGAAAAACCGACAGCCGGACTTCAACACAGCAAACAAAGAATGCCGTGTATTGGTCTTATCGGTGCCATGTTCATATCGATTTTGTGTTGTCAAAAGATGACTTCAATTATTATAAGTTGTGTAAGCTTGTGTATGCATTGTAACATTTGCGAAACATAGCTTTAGTGTAAGGTATGTTGAATTGTTGCACTATTACACGATTAAAGCGTTTAATTCAAAGACTCCAGCGAAATAACATTTTAAGTCAGTGACGTTTAAATTTCAGCAAGCTCTTACAATTAAGTACCGCCTAAAAAAGAATGTTAAAAACCATGTTAAATGGGAATCTATTATTTATATTCATCTTTCCGTGTAACGTGAACACGGCATTGCTGTCGATTCATGTTTCCCATGATGCAGTTCGAAAAGGACCCAGCGGGGACATTCAAAAGCATGGCAGACGACTCGAATATATTGAAATCAACACCAAACCCAGTTGGCTCGGAAAATACGTCAATTGTTAACAGCGGAAACAATAGGATAACGAGGCGCCTGACGCTTTCGTCCGAAAAAGATGTGGAACCGAATTTGACATCTAAAAACGTAACGTCACAAAGTGTTCCCGACGACTCCGATTCATGCCGACCGTCTGCGGAAGTGGCCGAACAACTCTCGCCACAGGTCGTAAACACACATGTAACGACGGCAAACGTGATGGACTTGAAAGATGCCTCCCCCGAACATCGACTAAATCCAAAACAGCAAACTGTGTACAACGCTGAAGACAAGGAAAACACCGCTTTGCCCTCCACAACCGGCCCTCCAGGTAAGGTGAGGGTAACATAACGTCACTCATGGTTTTCAATGGGGGGCATGAAAGCAACGTTACTCATATCAGGCACGTTTCTGAGATCAGTTGTTGCATTTTAATTTCGATCGAGGGAAACAGCCACCTGTTCTCGTAATAACGTTATACAGTCAACTTGTCGACACTATATTTATCAAAGTACTGCCTAATTAAGACGGACATAATATTCGGAGATAACGGTAATAGTTGATAAACACATTTACGTCAGTAGGTCTACAGATATTATAATTTTGAGGTACAGTAATTCCATTATATTAAAGTTTGATGAACGGTTTGAAGTAGTCTATGAAGCAAAGGATCCAATCATGGTCCAGCTCCAGTGTCGCAATTGTGATGTGTAGCTTCTTTAGGATTATGTTCATACAGTTTCCCAGTTACTTTACAGACACAGATGTTGGTTATTTGTGCAGACAAAACAGTATCAAAGAATATATGATTAGCCTTAACTATCCAGCAGTAGTTGGTGCCCACTTCTTTATGAAAATACATCTTTGTTCCTTGATGGCACATTATAAAAGGCAATTGCACAATTTTAATTGCAGGACTTTTGCTGATAAGAGTATCTGCTGCTTGTGCCCAAGTACAGGATCTGAGTAATTCCTCCACCACGGACAGACAGAAGTTGTGTATGTTACTTTCATGAGGGAAATGGGGGCAATGACTATTAGAACACTGGCCAAGCTAGATTTCATTATCATTTAACTAGCTAAAATTGAGCAGGACAGGTCCATTGCTCATCCTAATGACATTATTCTGGTCCCTGCAGATAATGCCCAAGAAGACGATGACACTTCTTGTCAGATAAGTTTGCAAGATTCCAGTAAACAACATTGTAACACAGACATTGATTCTGAGGTGATGAGAAAAGCGCAGGACGAAGGCCGTGTGAACGTGGTTTTCCCTGGCACTGTAACCCAGGACGGCTGCTGTCGCTTCGTCAGCGAGATCCTCAAGTGCATTCTCTATCAGAGACAGCAACTACCCATGACGTATGACCAGCTGGTGTACTCCCAGAATAAACAGCAAGCCTCAATGCAGGTGAATAGGAAACGTGTGAACACATAGTGCAATTCAACTGTTCATAAATGAAGACATGCTGTGGATTTGAGATGAACTAATAGTGTTTGCTGAATGTTTTGTGTTCCAGGGTAAAGACGTAGTAAGTCGGAGGCCGGTGCAAGCTGCAGACATGGACTGGCGCAAGTGTCAACAGACCCTTCAGGAGCTAGAGGAGGTGCTGCAGCAGCTGGAGGTGCTTTTCTCCCTTAGCAGGGTGCCCCGCGTGCTGCTGCTAATGGGTGGCTCCCTCATCCTCCCCAAAGAGCTGTATGAAATCAACATGGAGGCTCTGATATCGGCTGGTGGAGGTCAATGTCTACGTGTGTCTTCATGCTTGAGGCAGATCTTCCGCACTCTGTTTGTGGCTGACCTTTTGTCCGACAGCAGGCCCGTTCGTTTAATGCCCACCACAGTCCTGGCACTGTCTCACAGGGATTGCGGTGTAGGTTGGTTCCGCCCTAAACTACAATTTAAAATGCCAACCCGTGTAAAACACCACATAATAGCTCTGTCTACTGATCCCAGCATCTGTAAGGAACCAGGGGCACAGGGGTCAGACTGGCTGGAGTATGTGTGGTTTCAGGCACCCATGACTATCAAGGGCTTTGGCAAGTGACTGACAAGGTTTGGGAGTACATAGTCTTAGATTGGAGTGCTCTTTCTTGAGCCTGTATACTATAATTACATTTTAATGGTGGTCCAAGTGAATTTTGAATTGAGCTGTCCATATTTTAATGAATTACATTTTTTTCTACTTGTGATTGAAAGCATGTCACTTACAACATTAGGACAGGCAGTATGGTGTATTATCCTTTTTTATAGTCTTCTGATAAGCTGAGAGAATTGTTCACAAGAGGCTTTGTTGGCATTTATATTTGTGAAGAATGTTTTGCATAAAATTCTCAAATTTTAAAGATGTTGAACACAGAGCAACACACATAATATGGGTGTAATATATTTTGACAGATTGAATACATTATATTGCTTTCTTTAATCCAATCTTTGGATACATTAGAGTGCAAGTCCCATCTGTGTATACGTTTACATTTATTAAAACATGAAAAAGATTTTGACAGTGGTGCAATTTCTGAGGCAATCAAGCGATGAGATGCATTATAGTGTGACAACGACCTGCGTAAGAGGGCTGTGCATTCGTATCCCATTTGGAAGGACCAGTCAAACTCAAACTTGACAGCAATGATAAAGAACGGATAACCATAATTACATTGGTCTGAGAGTACATCAATGGGTTCAGAACTTCTCTACTTTTTTGACAAACTGGACAAGGTCGTTGGCTAGCAGCTGGGGCTCCTCAAAGGCTGCAAAGTGACCACCTCGAGGCATGAAAGTGTAGGAGTAGATGTTTCGATACCTAATTTGTGCCAATGACTTCGGGCAGTGGAGCAGCTCCCCAGGGAAGGCGGCAAGTCCAGTGGGCACAAATATCCCTGTCCTAAAACAAAAGAAGACACATAATCAGAACACGATTGGATAATAGGGTTGTCAAATTTATAAAACTAACGTCATGGTTTTGACAGTAAGAGCATTTGGCAACATACTTTGCATCCACTCTATTGTCAGGGTTGCTCTTAATGTTCTCTTTGTAGAAGCGCATGGAGGAGACAATGGAGCCTGTGGTCCAGTAGATCATGACAATTGTCAAGACTTCATCCAGGCTGAATTTCCTGTACAGACGCAGACATGTATAATTAATTACAGCCAGCAACAGCATCACTTAAACCTTGTTGAGCCAACATTTAATTTATATGCTGAAAATAACAACAAAAAGGCTAAACTGAATTCCCACTTGTACCTCTCCAGCCCACCATCCACCAGATCTCTGTTCCTCAGATCAGTCCAGGAGGAGAACTTCTCCAGAAGGTAGGCCGCCAAGCCTACGGGAGAGTCATTCACCCCACAGCCTGTACCCACAATTTAGGATTAATTTAGAGCTGAAATACTAGTAACAGTTTGTGTGTCTCATGTGGGTTGTCTTTGACCTGTTAACAGTGTCGATATGATCATCAGAATCAGTTTCTTAGTTGTCCCTACCTACAGTGTCTGGTTTAGTGGCCTGGATGTGAAGGTAGCCCGTTTCCCTCAGGATGTCCCAGACATTCTTCTCAAAGAAAGGGAACAATCGACGAACATCTTCCCGACTGAAGCCCACCAGGAATGGCAGATAAGGACCAATCATGAGGGACAACATCACTTTGATCCCCCTTGTCAACATAAACATGTTCAAGTGGAGACCTTTAACACACCTGGAAAAGATTATCAAAAAATGTTAGCTTTATCTAAGATTATAGGTCTTACGACATTTTAATCCTGTTCAGTGCCCATTTCTAGATATAAATGCAGGTTTAATCGATTTTTTTTGGTTTTGGCACAATGACCTTGCTCCAGCCTCCAGGAATTTGTAGTGCAAGTAGTTCTGGTCATGAGTGCACTTTGCACACTGCAACCACTGTTTCACAATTTAGATAACAATGTCACAATGTCTCCTTTATATAAACATGTGGGTGGTGGAAAGTGCACTGTCGGGGTAACTTGTAGCATGTAGGGGCTTGTTTTGCTGTCTTACAGAGGCTTCATCTGTGCCATGTTGGTGGTGATGAGAGAGCCCCAGTCTCCTCCCTGCAGATAGAACTGGGAGAATCCCAAACGTTCCATCAGTGTCAGGAAAATCCGGGCAGCCGCGAGACTGTCGAATCCTGAACAGACAGAAATCTGTAAACATCTGTTGCTCAAGCTCAGATACGTACCTTCATTCATTCAGACTCATCTACCTTGTTTATGAGGGGCTTCTGAGAAACCGTAGCCAGGGATGGACGGGCATATGACCTCAAACACTAGACCATCCTGGTTCTCTGTGAGAAGTGGCAGCATCTTGTAGAACTCATAGAAGGAGCCAGGCCAGCCGTGAACCAGCATCAGAGGCACAACCTTCTGA